ATCAGACACACCTCAGGTGTGCAATTACCTCCTCAAACCATTCCTTCAGAATGTTTGAACATTTCTTCCCATCAAAGTTTTCCACTCTACACCTGAGCAAAACAAAAATGTGAATTTCAGCTAATCAATGCACAGCTACTCTTGGAAGAGGATGAGATTTAATGGCAGAGAGTACACTCTACACGTGGCTCTAAACAAGCACTGGCCTCTTCTTCAAGGCAGTCCTTTTGATGTTTGCCCATGGATAACTGAAGCTAGCCTGTACCAAAAAAATAAGGATGCCTGCATGACTTTTGATGGCTACTTTTATGGCATCAGGTTTTAAGAGTTACCTCCTTTAGAAATTGAAAATGGTTTCCCTAAAAACAAGCAAAAGTAATAGAGACATAAACATTTCTGATTCCAGGTAAATGAAGGTAAATTAAGCTGCATTTTAAGCTAAAAGACTGCCTGCCTTTTGCACCACACAACCCTACATCAGCATCACCTCCACCAGGGCAGAGAAGCCAACATTTGAGCACTGATGCCAAAAAGCCACAAGCCACGGCCACCCCTTGAGTGAAGCTCAGGGACCCTCTGGCCTGGGGAAACACCTGGGGAGATGGAGCAGGGAGAAGTGTCAGAGCTTCTGGGCTGGGGGCTCAGCCCATGGCAGATCTTTTGGGATGCTTTTTGCAATAAAATCAGTGACAGCTGGAGCCAGAGTTGGTGCCTTGAGCTGCTCGTGAATCAGCTTTTTAAAAATGTTTTTAAAAGTCCTAATTTTATGAACATCTATACATATACATTTAAAATAGCTTCCAGAAATAATAAACACCCTGGATAATCATTTCTGATCAGCACTTCTGTAACTTTCTTAACTCCCTGAGTCTGCAAAACAGGGCTGAAAAGGGAGTTTGCCCATGAAAACTCTGAAACTCTCCACTTTTGATCGCAGTGGAAATAATCTAAAGTAGGTTTTTCAAGGAGAAATACATCGTTACTTCTTCTGGGTGTCAAAAGGCCACAAGCTAATGAAAAAGAATGAAAAGGATACCATTAATATCTACTGTCTCTGCAACACTTTTCATCCCAGGATCTCAAAGCAAGGGGTGACGGATGGCCACTATTAACCCCACTTTGCAGGGAAAATAACAAAGTCTTAGCAAGGTTAAGTAACTTGCCCAAAGCTATGCACCAAGGCAGTAGCAAGACACAGGAAAAAATAAAGCCCTGCACTCATGGGTGGGTTTGTGAAGAGTTTGTCCAAGCTCCTGCAAAGCAGCAAGAAGGAAGAGACTGCCAGGGAGTCCAGCCTGCAGTTTGGGGAGCTCAGGACATGTCTCAGGCAACTGCTTCAGACCTGGGCACCTTCACTGTAACTGGCTCCAAGCAAGTTAAAGAAATGCTACCCTCACTACTGTTAACTTCATTTTTCTGCCTGTCCTTAGCAATGGAGGAGTGACTTTTTATGGGGAACAGGTTGCTGAAGCCAAAGCAGAAGTGGTAAATCCTGTAGGCACCATGGTTTCTCGCCATAAAATTTTCCTTTGGTTTCTGACCCATGCCCCCCACATTTGGGACAAAATACATTATGGTTTTAACTGGGTTTTAACTGGTTTTCATGGTGAAATGCTCTTGGTGCAATGAAGGTTGCATTGTTTCCTTCTGCAGAGGCTCAGGAGGGAAAGGCCGATGCTCTGGGGAGGGAGCCCTGCAGGCTTGGAGCCCTCCTCCACTCCCTGTCAGAGGATCACTGGCCACATTTATTCCCCAGGATGGTGAACCCTATCCCTGGCCTGCTCCAGCCTCACAAACTTACAGAATCAGATTTTGAACCCATTTAATTCAGACTGCCTTGCCTGGTATTCCTCGCTAGCATTTTCCACTGGCTGCTCCTCTAAAAACAGTTCCTTTCCATTCATGGTAATGCACTGAAGCAGTTGATTTTCAGCAAGGAATGTTGTCACCATTTTGCCACTAATAAAGAAAAAAAAAAAAAAAACAGCTTTCAATCAATCAGGGTCTATTTAACACATTAGCAATTTTCCTTCATTTTTCTGTCATCCCGCATTAACAGCCGTGAGGTCAAATCCAGGCTGGTGTAATTCCAAAGGGGTAACACCAGGAACAAGTTTTACCCATTATATCTAATGCTGCTAAAAAGGTCTCGATAATAGATTATTTTAAGTTCTTGATTCAGAATACTAATCAAGTCCTTTAGAAAGAGCACTTGAGTGGGATGCTACTACAACAAATATGCTCTGATATTTTACACCACATCTTTCTGTCCTGTTGCTCATTTCTGTGTGAATACATGAGTTTTGGGAAGTCACTTTCTGCCATGAGGTCTGTTCTCAAGCAGCACATAGGTCAGACATCTAACACCCTCCATGCAACCCAAAAACCAGTCCACAGGACATCCAGCCACATGCAGGTCCTAGCCACAGGTTCTCCTTCATGGAGAAGTTTTCCCCAGCTCTCCAGAGGCCAGTCAGCACAGTCCTCAGCACAGCTCACCAGCAGCCCCCTGTGACTGCACACCTGGAATTTCCAGCTCAGCAGCTTCTGGCCATCTCCACCTGATGTCCCACTGGGCATCAAGTCCCTCCATGAAGACACCACAGCACAGGAATGAAGTAAATGCAGCACTTTGTGGCACCTCCTGCAGTTTGCCCCGCAGATGTGCTTTGCACTGCTCTGTGGTACCACAGCCAGTGCTCCACAAGGGCTCTGCTACTGGCCCTGCCCCACCACTTCATCCTCTCCTTTCTACCACCAGTTTTCTTTTCACTTCCCTCTGACCTAGCACCAGGTCCCTCCCTCCCTTCTGCTTTGGGCTGAGTGTACAGGAGAGCACCATGGTTGCCCAGGAGCCTGCCTGGCCAGGTGGCCCCAGCAGACAGTCCCTGTCATCACCCTGAGGGTAAATAGAGGGGCACCAAAAGCCATGTTGAGCCAGGAAGGAATCAAACCACGCTCGAGTGTGCTGGTGATTCAGCATCTCACCAGAGTCCCCCAGGTGAGAGTCACCATCTGACTCAGAGCGTAGGTGCCGTCACCCTTCCCCACGGGGCAGCCTGCACTGCTCCTCCCGACAGCCAGAGCACCCTGCAACATGAACCAAAACTCCCCCAGTCCCAGGAAATGTTTCCCCAGGGATTACCCTGGTGGCGAGTGCAAAACATGACCTCCAACCACAGCCACAGAGAGCTGGCTCTTGCTCCGAGTCGAGAATTAGCTCAGGAACACACATGGAGAATTATTCCTGATTTTCAGGGGGGAACTCTGAAAGTGCCTGAGCTTTGCCTCGTGTGGGCATCTAAATGTCACCACTGCTGGAAGCTGCTGCTGAAAACAACAGGGGTTAGAGCTCTGTTTTCAGAAAGCAGTGACTTCGGTGGGGCTTCAGACCTCCCCAAGTGAGGCCAGACATTTGTGGACATCTCAAATGAATGCTGCTCGGGCCCTGATGACATTCACATGGGCCAGGGGCTGCTTCATGGCTTTTCTCATATCCCTGTCTGTACATTAGTTCAGTCCAGCTCACTCTTTCCCCATTCTTTTCTGCTGAAAAAGCTATTTCAAACCTGCGATAGCAACAGTGCTGTCTGGAAAAGACATAACCTGACCTCCAGAATCCTCAAAATAAACAGCAGGAATGAACATGCCACATATTGCTATTTTATCATCTGTATTCCCTCCTGGTTTGTAACAGCCAAAATTTCCCAGGAGGGAATTCCTCTTCCAAGCAAGGGCAGGCTTTTGCTCCACAAAACACCACTAAACTCTTGGATACCTCTTCAGTCAGAAGAGAAACATGAAGAGATGAGTCAGAGGAGCTCTTCCTCTGGGAGCTCAGACCCTGCTCCTTCCACCCTCTGAAGGGGTGCCCAGCAGGGTTAACACAGCAAACGCCAGTCAATTCAGATGCTCAGATAACAACAACAAATTACAACAAATTACATTTACAGAAGATGCTCCCATAGCTGTTCGGGGTTTTGAGGGCTTTGAGAAATCTTTTCTCTAAGTACCTAACCAAAATTTATTTGCTGGGAATTCTTACAGTCTGACAACACCCAGAACTGTGCTAACACATCAGGGCATATTTTCAGGACACATTTTCCTGAAACCTGTTGCCTAGGGAAGAAACCTGCATGCTCAATTATATCCATGGCCTATGCCAGGCTCATAATCACTGACCCCGTCCCTCCATGGGCAAACCTCACGTCCCCAAGCCCACAGCCAGCAGAGTCACACCACGAATGGCACCACACACCCAGTCCCCACCTCCGCAGGGGTGGCTGCTGCTGGGGAACAACCCAGGCTTCCCCAGCAGGGATGCCTCTGATTTACACCCAGCAGGACGCTGCCTTCTGCCAGTCCCCCCGGCCCACACAGCGAGGCTGGAGTGTCACTCCAAAGTGACTTGGCAGGAGCCACCAGCAGGCTCTGGGATGGGCTCCCTGTCCCCGCCACGTCCACCGGTGCCAGCCCCTTCCCCATGGCCACATGCAGGCAGGAGCAGCAGTGGGAAGAGGGTTAAATCCCAGCAGTTCTCCAGCACAGCGCAACGAGGAAGCTCCGGAGACATACATGGCTCTCTTCGCCCAGCTAAAAGTTGCGAGTTACGGAGTTATGCTCTCACTTCCAAAACCTCGTGGTTATGGTTTGGTGGGCAAAGAGGGTAGGCAGCGTAAGAAATTAACATTTCTTTTCAGCATCACCAGGCAGGAGCTCACTGCAAAGCACAAGCTAGTACATACATCCACTGAACAGCAACCCTGTATTTTATTTAAGGTCTGTTGGGTATTGCAGGGAAGAATATGAAAGGCTGTGTTATTCTGCAGGAGCAGTTTTCCTTGGGAAAGTATAGCCAGACACTTAATCCCAGGAATATTTATAGTTAGCATAACTCAAATGGTGTTGTGCATGCAGTTGGTTAGTCTAAAGTGGAGCGTCATGCAGCTTGCATTAATGCTGGCAAAGGCACTTTATGGAGAAACAGACTGTATGCTTACAATTATCCCAGCCCAATATGGAGTGTCTCTGACTAGCAGAGAGGAACTGATGCCTGCCATAAGGAAGCCCAGCACTGTTACAGAGGTGCCTAAGGCCAGCTGCAGCAACGCCAGCAGCAGCGGGAAACGGCAGCCACAACAAGTGTGGGATTCCTCCTCCTGGCCCGTTTTGGGATCCCCCTTGGCTTTCTTCTGCTTCTTCTTCATCGCGGACTCCTGCGTCGAGCCGGTGCTTTTCTCCCCTCCGGGTGCCTTCCCTGTCTGGCTCTGGGTATTTGGGGACGTGCTGTGCTGGGTTTTCTTCTCCTCCTTCCCCATGCCGGCGGATTTTGGGCTTTCACGTGCGTGTGTGTGCGCGCACGCCGACGGGGGTGAGAGTTTTCTGCCCCCCAAAGCTTCGCTTTGTGCCGGCTGACTTGTTCCTGGTATTTGAATCAAGGAGGCTGAACAAATATGGAAAACATTTGGAAGCAGATTGTCAGAGCTTCGAAATGCCACATATAGCCCGGAGAAGGGGGGGATGCAAGGGGGTAGCGAACTGCCAACAGTGCAGGCGCCGGCTGTGCGCGCACAGGGCCGGCCGTGTGCGCTCACACGGCTCCACAGGTGTCAGCGCACCTTTGGGGCTTGGGGACGGGCAAACAGCAGGGCAGGAATTCCGCACTACCGGCTGGTGAACAGCAAGGAAATCTGCCTCGCCAGGGAGCCGGGAATGCTCCGGTGCCTGTGCAGGGAGCTCGGGGCACCGCGGCTCCCCTGGGGGCTGCCGGCAGGCACAGCTGGTCGGGGGCACCCACAGCACCGTGCCCATTCCACATACCCGCTGAAGCACTTTAAATAGGTGCCCGTGGCAGGGAGCTGATTGCATGTATGGAAAGCACGAAATTAATACAAATTGAAGTACAAGTTAATGTCCCGGGGAGCCAAAAGGGATCCTGTCTCTTCCCAAAAGTTGCAAAAACACGGCTAGGTGTGTTTTATGATGAGACAGACAGGGACCAGCAGTGAGGACTGGCGCTTCTGGGCAGGCAGTGATAGAGCAAGGAGTGAACATCTGCAGAGTGTGTTTCCAGGGCTGCAAGTTATCCATACCAGAAGATTGTTTATGTTACCTAAAAGAGAGAGGGATGTCTTATTGTGGGCATGTGGTCACTGCACTTCATCCATATGTGGGCTCAGGCTGCTGCTTGGAGACAGCACGGCAACAGAAGTGGTGGAATTTCTCCTGAAATACTCAAAAGTTGCTCTCTGGCTGAATCCAGCACTAGGGAACCCTGGCAGAGCCAGACACTGGAGGGGCTTGCCCATGGAGGGGGACTGGGGTGTGCAGAGACTGAATTCTGTCTCTGTGAAGAGGAGGGAGCAAGAAGAGGAGGGTGCTGAGTGATGCTGTGGCGGGGCTGTGCCGGCAGCCCTGAGTTCAGCCAGGCCATGGTGCACAGATCCTGCAAGGGAAGACCAAGAGAAGCAGGGAGGCTGTGGGAAGCTTGTGCTTAGCTCAGGCCAGAGGAATTACTCAAAAGCTTAGAGGTAAACAGGTGCTTGACTGCTTTGCTGGCCCGGGGCCGAGTGTGTACAGCCTGATGTACGACATTGCTCCTCCATGCATGCGTGCAGCTCCGTGTCCCTGCTGGCACAGGGACACCCTGGGGACACGTGAGCTTGTGCTGCTGCTTCCCCACGGACACCAATGAGAAAACCTTAAATGGACCAGCCGGTTCTGTCCCCACCATGGAGCTGTTGCAGTTTTTTCCTTTCCCATAGAAGCAGACAGCAGGAGCAAAGTGCTGGGAGGAGTGGGGCAGGTGGAAAGCAGACAGAAGGAAGACATCAGAGACTGGAGATGTCCCCACCAAAATTGCCTTTGGATGTGGCAGAGCAGCTCATCTGGGACTGCTCAAAATGGTGAGGCACTCAGAGAGGATCTTACACATGCTGATATAGCATTGAGGAAATATTTCCTCTGACACACTGGCAGTGCCTTCTGAGAAACGACTCTATTTCCAGCTCTTTATGGCATTTAACAGCAATGAACTGTGTCCTCTGTATTAATAAATTATGATGTCACTTTGTTTTATGGATTAAGCAATATCCTCTTTGGTTATTTATAATACTGAACGGATGAAAGAAAACCAGAAACAAAGTGGTTTCAGATGCTTTCTGCACACATAACTCTCGTGCTACATCCATAGAGTGAGATTAAGATACATTGTTCAAAAAAGGAAGAGGAAAATAAACAAGAGGTGAGAAAAAATAGGAAAAAAAATCCTTCTCCTCTAGTCATGTTGCGTAGAGTACCATGTTTTCACAGTTTCCCACCAAGATGTTTAGTCACTATCATTCACTTTCTAAAATATCCTTAAAATAAGTTGCACTCACTGGTGTATCTTGCCTCTCAAAGCCATACACAATTATATTTAACCACAGCTTTGAGAAGGACAGGGTGTTCAAGGATCATCACCAAGGTCAGACCAGGAAGCAGTGGCAAAGCTGAAGGCATGTTTAAACGATGCCCGGTTGAACATCTACCCTAATAATAATTAGAATGAAATGAAGTTAGAATTTTCTTTTCCTTTATGCCCATCCATTTCCCTGGTTCTATCCCATGGATTTTTACTGTGGTTTTTCCCTCAGGAAAATCCCTGGTTTAGCGCCTGGATTTGTGCTGGCGGCTAGATTTATGATTGCTGTCTTCTCAAAGGGGCCAAAATCCAATTTCTTTACTCGTGCTGACATTCATATTGGTTTCAGTGGGAGCAATTGCCTGAGGAGGATGAACAGGATTTAACCCAAGGTCAATAAAATTAACAAGAACTTTTCTTATGGCCAATAACAACCCTTATTTATCGCTGGGTCAGAGAATCTCTGGTAAAACAGGTACCTAAATATCTTTGCTGTACAGCAAGTAACTAAAAAATGAGGCCATGCTCAAGGACAGCAGGCAGAATATTTCCTACAGGGTATAGGTGGGATGTCCACTTGGGTCCCAGATTCCTGCATCCCTTTTGAAAATTCCAGCTGGTGCCCAGAGTCCTTAGGGCAGGAGAATTCTAGGCCAGCTCAGGGGACATCTTCTGTGCAGTGGCAGAAAGGTTTGGATATGAAACCATGAAATGTGGTCAATGTAGAGCAGAGTTGCCTTCTCCCAGCTGCTGGGTCTGGAGTAGCTATTCCATGTGGTTTTTCCAAGAAAAACAAAGACATTAGTTGCCATCTACCCTACCCACTCTGAGACAAGGAGCCTCTCTTTGGCTCCTTGCACACTTTAAGGCATATCCATCTTAGAATCCCAGCATTTCTAATCTCTGCAGCAATACATGGCTATTTAGAGAGAAAATTGGGAGTCAAATACATTGAAAAAGTTCTGGGCAGGGATATTGCTGATTTTAAATGATTAAACAGTGTGTACCAGGGGTTCTTTTGCCGTGGCTAGCTGTCCCTGCAAAGCCAAACTCAGATATCTTACATGCTGGGAAGTTTAATGGGGATGGAGAAAAAAGACGGATGCAGGATTGATCTTCCGTACTTATTATCTGAACCAGATTGTGTTTGCTGATTCCACTTGGCATTAACAATCGAGTGTAAAACAGCTGTGAAGGAACTCATAGCAATGACAAATTAAAAGAATTACATTTTTGGAAATTGAAAGATTAAATGAGGACACTGAAATAAAACTAAATTTTCCCGAGTAATACATCTTCCGGATGTCACTTGGATTTTCCCAGCAACACAAGAATAATCATTACCCTTTTATGCCCAAAGGCCCTGATTAAGTATGTTCTTAAATTAAGCACATGCTTGAATACCCTTCCTGGATGAGGATGCTTTTTGATTCGAGCCCAGCTAGCATCTCTCATGTGGCACACAGTTGTAATTTCATGTCCTTTACACAAAATGAGTCATGTTGCACAGCTTTTCCATGGCCAGACACTGTCCTCTGTTAAACATTGCCTGCTCTTGTTCCTCTCCTTGCCAGAAAGCAGCGCAGCCCGGGTGACGGTGACAACAAGTCAAAGAGCACACACAACGCCAGGCGTGGAAAAGGCAAGCTTTGGGCTGCAGCTTTGTGGTGACACAGACTTTCCTACTCTTCTCCCAGGGCCAGGGACACACAGCGCTGCATGCAGCTCCAGAAAGCTGGGATTTTTTCCCCACTGCCATCTTTGCCCTGGAAATAGAGTGGGATTGGCGTGGTTGGGTTGCCAGAGACGCACAGGCGCTCACTCCCTCATAATCACATTTATACAGATATTTCTCCCAGGCATCAGCACCCCGGCCAAGCGCCAGTGGCAGGGTTGCAGCACACAAATCCAGAGCAGTAGAATTAACAAGGAACAAAAGCTTGGACAGGGCTGTCCTCGTTGCCCCAAGTACTGTGGGACATTCGGCTCCCTTTGCCCAAGGAGCTACTCCACAAAAAGCTGCTGACCCAGGGGTCCCCTCAGAGACGCCACCCCCAGCATGACAGCTGGAGTTGGGAGGGAGCCAAATGTGCCACAGCCAGCCAAAGGATCACCACTCTCCAAGCCAGTCTGGGAGAAGCTAAGACCCTGACTAACCTTTGCTTTTTGTTCCCCTGATCCTGTCACCCCGCAGCAAGCCGTGGACCGCAGAGCTGGGCCAAGCACTGCCAAGTAGCCAAAGCTCAGCACAAAGACCAGGCCAGACTGGGAGGGGGGATTCCCCATTAAAGCAAATGATGAAAGGTTCTCCCTGAAAAAAGGAGTGTAAAGTCAAGCTGAGATTTTCAAAACCTCGTGCCCATAGACAGCAGATAATAACAACGTGTAGCTCTTGAAAGCACATTTGCATAAAAGACAAGGCCAATTAGAAATAGGTCCAACATCTGCCACAGCCACTTTTAAAATTCAGGTCATCTGGAGGTGAGGCTTGCTTTTGACAGGTCTTCTGAGGCCAGTTCACGTTGTTTTGAGTGTCTGTAGGCTCTTCCGTGAGAGCTGAGTCGTGCCAGGTGACCTCCAGAGGAACCATCCATCCCACTGTATTCTTTGCATGTGCTTCATGTGCCCTTTAGGCATCACTAGGGGTAAGACCAAGGTACAGAGCATTTCAGTTTAGCTGTTGGGGGTAACAGATGTGGAAAGAAATAGAGAGCAGGAGTCGTTTTATGTCAGGGTACTCCACCCCTAGAGGCCACTTATTTAAAAATGCCCCTTACTCTCTCCATTGCCTCTGACCATGAAGTAAATTTGTGCGCATAAAAAAAATCAGCTTGGGAAGAAATTGTGTCTTGCAGCCTCCACAATGATTGTGCTACACCAGTTTAAATTCCTAGACCTTTGCTTTTGCTAAAGCTCCCTTAGATGCCTTATGCCTGGGGCTCCTCACCTCCAGCTGTGCTTCCCTGAATCCACAGAGTGGCCCAGGGATTTGTGGGAGTCTCCTGTATAAAACTTAACAATGTTTAAGCTTC